ACAGAATATTACCATTGGAATTGCTGAAAATTGGAGAAAATTCTTTTCTGGCCTACGTATTGGAATGGCAAATAGGCAGCTTTAAACGAAAGTTGTCCAAATTTATTTCAACAGAAACTCCCAAAGTTTCAAAAACTTTGGTTTCAAATGAAGAAAGAATTTTATGTTTGATTCGTCTATGAACAATGATGGCAACTCCACCACAGGCTCCATCAAGACGATCATTTCTATAAATGAAATAATTTGCATCCCTCTTAACCTTATGGTCAGGTTTAAGGATCGTTTCAGTTATAACGGCAATATGCACGTTATGAACTTTCAAAAAGTTAAATAGCTCGTCTTCATTATCTTTAAGAGATCGAGCATTCCAATTTAAAATATTTAATGATTTCCATTACTGAATTTCAAAGTCATGACGATATTTTTTGCAAATTTTACTCAATTTTGAATAGCATCAAACTTGGAGTTAGAATTAAGTATATCGTAAATCAAGTCAGTTAATGATTTCTGCAAAAATTCAATTTTAGGGGCAATAATGCTTCCTAAGTCAAAATTGTCAAAATTTCCGTTAGAACGTTGGTTAGTATTTTGATTTCTACCCGCTGCAATAGCAGCATAGGTAGCTCCATTAACTCGCTGAACATTGTTAGCAGCGAGAGTAGCAGGTGTAGATGAAGAATTTGAAGCAGGGGTAATATTTGTACCTACGGGTACGAATGTAGAATTTGTTCCTCGCTGACCGTTGTGGAACGTTTCCTACCTGTCGGTTAGAACGAGATTCTAGGATCGCTTTGCCAGTCTTACATTCCCAAAAATTGGATTTGTGGTTTTCACCACAATTTGAACATTTAATTTTTTTAGGGTCTTCCTTCACAGAACAGTCGTCCTTTACGTTAGAGGAATAACCACAATTCATGCATTTAGCTGGCATGTAGCAATTTTTAGTTCCGTGACCCCATCCCTGGCACTGACGGCACTGGGTGAGGTTTTGGAAATTTCCTCCAGTCTTCTTGAAGTGTTTCCACTTCACTCGGACATGGATCATAAGGCTAGCTTTTTCCAAGGCCTTACGGTTGTTTAGTTCACTAGACTTGAAGTGAACTAAATAAAAATCATTAGAAATTCCGTTGCGCGAATCGCCAGGACGGGATTTCATTTTCATTTTGATTAATTGGACTGGCACAACTCCAAGTAATTTTGCCAGTTCATCTTTGATCTGGGTAGGCCTTTCATGACAACCTTGAACACACGTTCAATTTTGGTGTCGTAAGTAAACGATTTGTGCTGATTCTCGGTAAGATACTTGAGAAGGCATTTGAATCCGTCCAAGGTTTCAGCCAATACACGGCATTCACCCCAACGGCCAATTTGCAGTGAAAACTTAAATTTCACGAAGTTCAAAAGTTCCGTGCGAATAGCATAGAAATCGGAAGTGGTTATCACAATAGGGGAATCTTTTCCTTCTTGACATAAAGCCGGGAAAAATTACTAGAATTTTTCCTGGATGATGGATCATTCTCGACATTCGTCAGCAAAGCAAATTGATTGCTTAAAATACATTCAAAGTGTTTTTTTATGTTACCTTATACACGAAGTTTGCAAATTTCAGAGTTGGTTGGAAATGCTATCTAACATGAAGCTTTAGTGTGATAATTTATTAGCTAGAGAATGATCTTAGAAGAGGGTAGGTGGATAGTTCCGTTACAGTACGGCAGTATGAAAATTGAATAGAAGTTGAAAATGAGCGAAGGACCATTAATGCGACAGTACAAAGTTCTTTTTTTTATTATTATAGTCACTTTAACGCTCTTGGGTCGTTCGTGACTTGTCCGGGGGTGAGATTTGAACTCGTGACTTTGGCGTGAGAGGTATGGATGCGAACCACTACGCCGGAGTCGCCCCCAGGGCAGTACAAAGTTAAACGCACACCTTCTACCTAACCCGTACGATGTACGCGGAGATTTGAAGTATGTCTTCAAATCTACAGGCATCTACGAGAGGAGCAACACAATAGTTGGGTAAAGAAGAATTGCAATATAACACACCATCGACTGGAAATGCTCTCGGCAACGTGGGGCTTTAGGTACTGATGAAACGTTGCCAGAACTATTCCATAGTTCATAGAACTATACGCTCATTTTCAACTTATATTCAATTTTCATACTGCCGTACTCTAACGGAACTATCCACCTACCCTCGTCTAAGATCATTCTCTAGCTAATAAATTTTCACACTAAAGCTTCATGTTAGATAGCATTTCCAACATACTCTGCTTAAAATAATTTCATCAAAAGGGGGATCAACAGATTGCCCTTTTCTTTTGCGCTTAGGCGCCATGGCGGCAGAAGATTTTTTTTTAAATCCAAATTGACTTCCAAGCAGATTACTATAAGAATCTGAAGGATCGAAGATTACCTCAGGTAGGGTCCAAACAAGGATCGAAGAGGAATAAGAGCCAAACTAGGTAGAACATTTACAGGTATAATGAGCAATGAAAAGTGCTGTTTAAATTTGTTGTAGCTTTCGGTAGTAGTAACATAGAGGTAACTCTAAGACTATAAGGTCCCGAAATAACGTTCTCAACTTTTTGGCTCAGCTCTGGTACTAAAGAGATGAACTAGCCTCAGGCTAAAAATCTCTATAATAAAGAAAAAAAAAAAAAAAAAAAGCTCTGGTACTATCTTCGGTCCCAAGCTAATGGATTCACCCCTTGAAACATAGGAAAAACCAATAACCCCTCATTTTATCTGTCAAACTTTCATAGCGAATCAAAACAAACATTGCGTAGTACTAGAATTTCGACTAGAATTGGGTACGTTAATCGTTTGCTTGGGACCAATAGGCTAGTCAAGTAGTGAGCCAATTTAAAATCGTTAGTTTCGTATTGATTGTTGGTAGTAACACTTCCTTCAGCAATGCAAGAGAGCACAATACAGACTGAGGCTCTTTCCTCCTAAATTCTTATTCAGGACCACTGTGCATTGACACTGAAATCTTAGCTTTATAAATGTGTTTCATTCTTTTCATCAGCGGGAGTTTTTTCATATATCTAAAAATTTATAGAGTTGGCAATTTAGTATTCATCGTAACGGTGTCTTAAGTCTGTCAAGTATTCTTTCCACTATTTTCAATCTGGCCAAGTGAGATTTACAACACAATATACCACCATTTGACCTTTCGTCCCCCTTCTCATCATTCAACCATTTGTCCGTCTTCTTATCACTCGACCTTTTGTCCACTTGACCTACTGTCCATTATTTTTTTTTGCATTCGACCTTTTGTCTATCTGAACTTTTGTACATTCCACTTTTTGTTCATTTGGCCTTTTGTCCTTCTTATCATCATTCGACCTTTTGTGCCCCTTCTCATTATTCGACCTTATGTACATGTTTGAATCATTTGATCTTTTGTACTTTAGACCTCATAATTCGACCTTTTGTTCATTAGACCTTTTGTCGTTACGACATTTAGTAATTCAACATTGCATTTTGCGCTCTGATACGCAGAGTAAGCTCAATGACCTAGCCGAACGCTCCTCAGCGGCGGGTCTCACCATCAACGTCAACAAGACCAAATCGTTGGATATCAACACGGGCACCCTTCCAACTTTACAGTAGTGGGGCAAGCTGTGGAGAAGGTCGAAAGTTTCCAATATCTTGGCAGCCAAATAGCGTCGGACGGCGGGACCAAGAGCGACATAGGTGCATGAATCCAGAAGGTTAGGACTGCCTTTGCGAGTTTACGAAACGTATGGAGATCCAACCAGATAAATCAACGCACCAAAATCCGAATTTTCAACTCGAACGTGAAATCTGTGTTGTTATACGCCAGCGAGACGTGGTGTGTATCAGCGGAGAACACTCAAAAGCTGCAGGTCTTCATAAACCGATGCCTGCGGTATATAATTCGTGCCTGGTGGCCTCACAACTAAATCTAGAATACCGAGCTCCATCGTCGATGTCATCAGAAGCCGGTAGCAACAGAAATTCGAGAGCGAAAGTGGAGGTGGGTCGGCCACACACTTCGACGGGGCGGAAACGAAATCTGCAAGCAAGCGCTGGATTGGAATCCGGCAGGACATCGCAGCAGAGGCAGACCCAGGTGACGGCGGCGGAGCCTCAATAAAGAAATTCAGCAATTCAATAGGAATCAGGCCCAGGTCAAGGCAAAAGCGAGCAGCCGCCCAGGATGGAAGTCTTTCACGTTGGCCCTTTGCACTGCTGGTGGTACACAGGACCCTTAAGTAAGTAAGTAAGTATTCGACCTTTTGTGATTCAATCGAAAACATGTTTAAGAGAATTTCGGGGATAATTTAATGGGCATTTCGAGGCGAATACACATAATTCTAAGCAGAATATCTAGGTTTTTCTGAGGTGAACTGCCTTAAATTTCATATCAGTGCCATATGCATATGGATTTACGTCATTTTTGAGATAACAACGCTATCCTCTATGTGAAAACGACATCAGGTCAGTTTGTCCCAAGAAGTAATCGCATATCAGTACCATTTTGAAATTCCATCGTCCAAAAGTCCAGTTACAATGCTGCTTTTTGAATTACCATAATTTTCATAATATATAATATCACAAAACATGCCAAATTCATTGCTAAAATTATCAAAAAATTTGCTATTATTTTTCATAGCTACTTTTCCATATGGGAATGATATACGATTCTAGGCATGAACATTCTCTGGAGAATTCAAGTTGTTTTAGATTAAAATTATTAACGGAAGCTTCAGTAAATTCTTGGACGAACCATTTAAATTTCAAAGTAAATTTTCGTTAGGAGTGTTCTGCAAAAAAATCTGATTATTATTAAGAAAATTTGAAGGAAATTCAAGATATATTCTCCAATTTAATTTAAAGGAATCCTGAGCAGAACTCTGAGCAGGAAAATGAGTTTGAATAAAATTCACGAAATCATTCCAATCAAATATGCGAATTTTCAAAGAAGTTCAAACCTAAACAATCCTGGCTACACCCGTGAACCAAGCTTACCTTAATGTCTTCAGGCATAAAGCTGCGATCGTGGGACAGCTTGATGTGCATCTTGAGGCCGAATGCGTCGATCTCGTACTCCGGATGGGGATCCCAGATGCGCGACGATCGGTTGCGGAACAGTCCCGTCCGGTGGAACTTGGGTGCGAGATGTGCTCCGGTAGTTTCTGCAAAGATGTTTTGAAAGAAATGCCATTTTTGAATGTGTTGAAAATTCCAGTTTGAGGTTTTTAAATAGCATATAAACAAAGAAAGTAATTTCAGCAAACGACAACGATGAGTGACATCGAAACGCCATTAAGGGTGGTCGTAAATAAGATCTGCGTTCGAGTTCCTTGTTTTTATCGATTGCCAACCATTTGTAGGGTTGGGTTCGTACACGCAGTGGGTACCTTTTAGGATGGGGAGGATAATTAGTCGGTTGAGTCGTTTTTACGATCGATGCGCGTTTTATTGGTTGATGTGCATCTATTAAAGCCGATTGAACACGGGTCGGGATTTCGGTACTCTGTATACTAATGTGTAGGAAGTGCGGGACTGAAGTTTGATGCCGACCATAAAACGGTTAATTTGTTCCGTCTGGTGGTGCTCGTTGTTGTTTAAGCATAAACTGAAGTGTTTGGATTGCCGGTTTTCCTTAACTGTTTAGGAAACATCATGGTGCAGTCCATTATGTTGTTGTTGTTGTTGTTGTTGTTGTTGTTGTTGTTGTTGATGATGATGACGTGTTTAATGGGCTCACCCTTTGATTGAAATGGTAAACTTCTGAGAATTGTGTCCTCCCATCCAGCCGGAGATTTTACAATGTTAAAAGAATGTTCTTTATTTGTTCATGTAATCAAAATACTCAGCAACTGTCTAATTAATCGACCAACTACGAAGACATTATTATACTCTTACATTGCGGGCTGAGCCTAATAGCTTACCGCCCATGAGTGCCAGTCAACATTGACTTAACAATTTCTCATATTAACCGATTCAAATCACACCATAAACCTGCAATAAAGTCGATCTTAATGCATCCGAGCCATTTAAGTTCCACGAAGCTCGATTTTAAACGATTTGCAGCCATCGCATTAAGGCTCACTGTCACCGCACTACTGCCCGGTGGACGGACGGAGACGTGATCAACCTGTGCCTGTTAAATCCCTGTATATTTAAGCCCACGGAGAGGAAACCGCCCAACGAAACGACCGCAAACTGTCGCCAATGCTTTAAGCCGATTGTCGTGAACAGACAGAGTGCTGCTCCTGCACGCAAAGAATACTGGCGTCTTCCTCGGGTTCCATCGACTGGGGCCGGGTGCGCTGAATAGCCATCACCTTCCGCAATACCAATTGTCGACACCATCCAGAGAGCCTCATGCAGTTTCAGTATCCGTTGGTGTTGATGATGGAAGATGTCGATCGGTTCGTGACATGACGATCGCGTCATATATGCAGCCAGTTTCACTGTTGCAGAACAACAACAGTGGTTTTAAAACACCCGTCACGTTTCGGTCTGTCTGAGAGCGTACTACGGCGTTGGCGCGAAAAAGTGAAGAGGCGCTACGCCAAATGGCAATTGGAAGTGCCGACATCGTCCCCCGGATCCGGAGGAAAACATTGCAAAACACATGTCCGCCTGTAACCCGATCCATGCCAGCGTCTTTGTTAGCTCCGATGTTTTGTTAATGTTTAAAATGCTTCTTCTTGACATGATAGTGAATTTAGTTCTGTTTTAGTATTTACTATTTTATCTATATAATTTTCGTATTAATTTCGTTTGATTTATTATTGAATTGTTGTCGCATGTTTCGGTTTCGGTTTCGGTATCAGTTTTCTTCAAAATAACAAACTATTTAACATATGCCATAAATTGCCAATTCAACTTTCGAATGGCACTCATCTCCATAATTTGGTGTCTAATGGGTTAATAAACGTGGACCAATGTGGATGACATTTTCGCGCATCTGCGATGATGCCTTTCCGGAGAGTCACTCCGAACCATAATGTTATTAATGAGCGGTGAAGATTATAAAACTTGAAGCCGGCCGGTCGAATAAATTCTATTCCCACGCACCGCAACCATCCCAATCGACCGACCGACTGACGGTGGGCTGTTTCATCTGGATTTTTAATGGATTCGTTGGACATGTTCGTCGACTCATATGTCGAAAATGTGCGAGAATCCCATCGTATTCGCACTCTCGCTACGCTCGCTGACTGAATGCACTAGCTGGCTGGTTGGTGGCAAGCGTGATTCACATTTCGCCACGTTTAGCTCAGAGATACTTTACTTATGCACCGCCGCCGACAGGGAAATTATCCCGGGAAGCGAGAGTTGCATTATAATGGGAACTTCGCATGGATGGTGATGTTTGCCAAGGGGCCCACCAATGGGTGTCTTGTTTTGAAGGTAGACGGATTCACCGTTTCATTCGAATCACCCTTGGGTGGATCAAGTGCCGGAATTTTAGACAGAGTAAAACAAAGGCAAGATTAACCCATTTCGTGGCTTGTTGAAGAAGTTATTATTTTGACGGGAGTCGCGTTTATGACCGCGCACGATCATCATCACCAAAGTGAAGTCATATGAGGTGGTATGCAGTGTACATGAGAAGGAGGCATTTCGCATATTAAATTGATGCAATCTGAACAGGATGGTCCGATTTATGGGATGATGAGATTTGAACAGACTGGAGCTGTCATCAGTGCAATAATTTCGAGAGAATTAAGAGATTGGGCAAAGCTTACGCAGTCAGTCCCACTGCCGCAGGTGCTCAGAGCTGTGATGTAAACTCTGGAGGCCTTATAAGTTGAGCTTAGAGGCCTTACAGGTCAAGTGTACCCAAGTAACAATTCAAGCTGAACAGTAAGAACAGAAGCTGCTTATTGGGTGATTTAAGGTGTACACAACTGATTAACACCAGGCTGAATATATAGTTGATTAGTAGTACATGAAGCGAATTGTATCCCCATATTTCAACCTCAATAAGTTAGCTAAACTAAAGATTGAACAAGACTTATTTTAGCTTAACACTACTCGAGAAATCAGCAATGCACTACCAATATTTTGATAGCCTGATAGATGAATATGAATCTATTGCACAATATTGTTAAATGTTGTCAGTGCGTTCCGGCATTTTAGTTCTTCTTAATTCACTTCCTACATTTTTAACCCCAACAACACCAGCAGTAAAGTTAAGAAAGATGATTTGTTTAGGAATATCTTCAGGTAGAAGTGGACTGCGACGACGTATTCCTGTGTTTTGATTTCTTTATATACACACTCACTGCGCTGAATTTTCAGACCACATTCCAAAAATATAGTCCAATTATAGCACTAAAATAGCATCCAAATGATTGTTTACTGCACTTCAAATTGATAGGAATGTTTTACTGTCACTAGTTGTTGTTTTCAATTTTGCATTGTTTTTTTTTCCCTTGATTTGTTTTCCGTCAATCTTGAGAGTAGGCTGTGCGTGTGTTCGAACCTGACGTTTGCTTTTTCCGTGGAGTTTTTTTTTTATTTATAATCGGTTGCTGATCTGGCTATAACCAGGCCCAGGAGACAATTTCTAATTCCTCATTCTAGGTCCCTATTGTTTGCCACTGAGAAGCTGTTCCAAAGCCAAGTAGAACCTCCACGAGGCGTCCCATCGTTAGTTCCATCATTCGTTGAACCTGACTATTGGCCAAGAAAAGGCTTGCCAATGCACATCAAAAATCGACTACATACATCTCAAATCGAAGGAAGACATTCCGCGCAACTACCATAAACCGGACTAGTTCATGTTGATCTTCGTCAAGCTTCGTCTACAATTTGGACTTCTACATCAACGAATATCAGGTAGCCTTCAGGTTCAATTGGCTAAACTTGGTGAGTTCGTTCCATTTTGTTAATTTTTATCCTTTCAAACCAGTAACGTTCGGAGATCACCTTTTTGTGGTGTGTTACTGGTGTAAGATCTACCACCGAACCCTAGCCATGAAAACTTCAAACTAGGGAATCAGGGTAGTCCAGTTATCAAAGGATCACATTTTAGTCCTTGTTACTTTTTATGACTTGATAATAGTGACAAGACTCGGGTAGTGACCACCGCCGTTATGCATTTCTATATTGTATATTTCAAATCAAAAATATTGTTTATGTTCATAGATTTCACATAATCCTTTTCCCTTTGTCCTTCTCCTTTCCCTCTTCTTTTTTTCAGAAAGCGAGTAATGGCGCTATAGCCATAAGTCATAAAAGGCTAGGACAAGAGTAAGTGCCAGGGCCCCACAAAGTCACTTTCAATCGAAAATCTTCAAGTGACGATGAAGCTCTCAACCATCACTTTCAATTGAAAGTCATTCTGTCTTCTCTTTGAGCAGATCCCCGTCAACATCAACAGAACCACTTTCGATCGGTTTTCATGCTGTTTGGTTTGGCTTGACTCGTGTTCATTTCTTCTTTCATTGTCAAATGAACTTACTTTTGCATAGAAACGAAGCTGTTTGATCCAAATTCGCGCAGTTTTTATGACTTTTGTTGATTGTTCACTCGGTTCATTTAAGCGTGTGCGCATTGATCTGTACACGTGGTTGTAAAATTTATCATTGTTGGGTGGTTTGTTTACCCATCAATATAGGTACTTTTTGAATCGAGGTGACGTCTAGAGATCGAAAATTGATATGCGACGCCATTTTTAAATCCAAGATGGCGGCTTCCAGTTTAAGAAAAAGTTAGAAATGCTGAAGTATGAAGGTATGAAGTCTACAAATCGAAAATTGATATGCGACGCCAATTTGAGATCCAAGATGGCGGCTTTCGATTCCAGAACAAGTGGGAAATATTGTCAAATACCCATCAATATAGGTATTTTTTGGAATCGCGATGATGTCTAGAGGTCGGAAATCGATATCCGACGCCATTTTGAAATCCAATATGACGGCTTCCTATTTCAGAAAAAATGGGAAATGCTGATGCCGTCCCATCAATATGGGTATTTTTGGAATCGGGGTGACGTCTGGAGATTGGAAATCAATATCCGACGCCATTTTGTAATCCATCATATACCCATACAAATGTTTTTTTTTTTAAATCTGGGTAACGTCTAGAAGCCGGGAATCGATATCCGACGCCATTTTGTAATCTAAACGGCGGCTTCCGATTTGCGGAAAAGTGTCAAATACCCTAAAATGTG